TTGGTGGATAGACCGTTCAGACATGCAATCATAGCTTCCCATGCCTACTCACAGTAATTACAGTAGGATGGTTACCGTGGGTAAACCTGGCAATCACACTAAACACGTATTTTCCAAGTGGTGTAGATAGATATTATTAAAAGCTTTACAGGCTGATTAGAATGGATTCAGCCAGGTTGAAGCCACACGTATGTAAGGACCCTTCCCTTATCTTCTTCCCAAAAGGGGGAGAGGCGAGCTGTCAAACATAACATGACCAAAGCATCTCCAAGCCAGCCAGCTCTGATCATCAATCCAAAGCCTAAATCACTATAGCTCAATCGTGTTCGCGTGTATGTGTATGTATGTATATGCATATGAACTCACCGATGCCAGGTGCAGAGTAGATGAAATACAAGGCGGAGGTGGACAGCGAGAATAGGAATAAAAGCCCAAGGAATGACCTTCTGCGAAACCGCATATGAGTCGGCATCATACAGGCAAGCACAGGCGCACACGCACGCACACGAGGGGATCCAAGAGACCGGGCAGGGGAAAGGGAAGGGGGGGAAAGAATGGTTCCAATGGATGTCCTGTGGATGTCCCCAGTATCCACGAAGAGTCTTGCCTGTGCGTAAAAAATGAGCCGTGATAGATAGATATGTGTATGCGCAAAGCTGACAAACACACAAGCGCGTCAGGGAGGAAGTCCTTCTATTTCCGCGGCAGGTCGTACACACAGGAGAAAAGGGACCTCAGATTCAACGAGGACATTAAGAATCCATTCCCGGGGCGAGATTTGAAAGTGAAATGGCTCAAGCTGCGCAAATGACAAGCTATTCCAGAGAGACCATCCTGGCTCGCACTGCTGCTGCTGATGGTGGTGGTGGTGGTGGTGGCAGACAGCTCGCTCCTGTTTCGCTCGATACACCCTCCTATGTGTGTTGAATGAATGGAGCTTCCCCTTTTGCAAAATGAGCAGTTCCTATACGAGTGGGCGTCAACTCTCTCTGAAAGGGGCGAGCGCACAACGCAGCGGCCAGATCTGAAATACCCAGTTATAATGCGCGCGTCAGGAGGTCTGGCAAACTGGGGAGGGGAAAAAAATATGTAATTAGCCATAATCTAGGTCTTATCTAATGTTGCTATGGCATCTGGCTAATCAGGTTTTCTGATAAGAGCATAACTGCAGTGAAAATTTCTGTGTTACTTGTACTGTATGGCATTTATTTGTATGGCTTAGTGAATACACAAGGCAACACAAAGTGCTTCACAAAAACTAGATGGAAATAGTCACACGACATTTAAATCATAAATAACCACAGCACACTAAAAAGAGATAAGATCAAATAGTTCAGTATGCACCATAGACTGTAGTATGCACAGCTAAACAGAACTGTTATAACCTGGATTTCAACATTCTCAAGAGTAGAAGCCTGTCTCACATTTTCAGGAAGAACATTTGAAATATGAATAAAGGATCCTGGATGTGTCATGTCACACTGGGGTTTGTGTTTCTGGAAAAATATCAACTTTTAGATATAAAGAGATCCTTTGTCCCACAGTAGGGAAATTTCAGTATTGCATCATAAGATACTGTACAAGAATCGGAAGCACCCCACGCGATATATCTGAATATAAGTACAACCCTACTTAAATAAATATAAAATATATTTAACAAAAAATTTATCTTAGAACAGGTGGATACATATATTAAGAAGTACACATATGGTGTGGTATGTACATGCTAGTGCTACTAAATAAATACAAGTTGTATGTGTTGAGTAATTGAGGAAATTAGTCATTAGCTCTGTAGCTCTCTCTTTAAAGTTGAAAGAGTGACTGTACATGTTTGTAGGACCCATATTGCACATTCTGACATTTTATTGCACACATGTTCCAACAGTAAGACAATTGGGTAAATGAACCCAGACAACATCGTGAGAAAAAGCCAAATGAGTCACTATTTGTTCCTGTGACCGAAAGACCAGTGCTATGTTTGTTCATAGTCATAGGCCCACCCAAATTTATGAAACAGACTGAGGACTCTTTCAATGAGATTGTGACTGTTTTTACTTCTCTTGTGCACAGCCGTGATAGGTTTGTGTTTTTTTTTTTTTACATGGACCTCAGGTCCATAAATATATTTGACGCTTTTTGCGGAGAGCGGATTAGCTGAGTGGTCTTCTTCACATGCAGGCAAGAACAATAATAATATTTAAGCCGCAAGCGGCGTCGAACGGCCCTCGCCTCACTGCGCGACTCCCCGCACCGCGCACACTATCCCGTGCCACGCGCACCACCCCGCGCCACGCCGCCCCACACCATGCTGCCCCGAACCAAGCGGATCTGCACCACGCCTCTTCACACCACGCTGCCCCACACAAAGCCGCCCCGCACCAAGCTGCAACGCGCTGCTCCACAACGGCCCGCACTTTGCCGCACCACACCGTACCACGCAGCATCGCGCAAAGGAGATGGCGCCGCCGTGTGATTATTTGTTCCCGTAGCAATAGAAGAATGTTATTCATTCTTCTATTGCTAGATGATGTGGAGCGATTTTGCGGCGAATCGGTAAAAAGGTCGAGGAGGAGAAGATTTCCAACCGATATGTATGAAAACTATTGCTGTTCATTTTTTTTTTCAGTGAAATTCATGGGCTTCCTGTTTGTCGGGGGGCGGGGCCATAATAAAAAAAATTTCTTGTCCTGACTTGAGGAACGTGTGTACCGAATTTCATGGCTCTACGACAAACTTGATCTCCAAAACTCCCATAGGGGTATTATTTTGGCTGTTGTAGGTGGCGCTGTTCTGGCATTTTTTGAAAATAAACACCAAAATATCAAATTTTTTGCCAGGTCTGATTTTTGGGCAAAATTTTACAACTTTTCATGCATGTTCAGGGGGTGAAATTAAGGCTCAAAGTGCAGAATTTGACATCTCTCGAGCAAAAACAATATGTCCTTTCCCCGTTCGGGGCTCGGGCCTAATTATTATTAATAATAATAATAATGCATCAGTTTTATGCCCACTCCATACATAGTGGTGATAAACTACTATAGTAGCCACAGCTGTCCTGGGGTACATGACGAAAGTGAGGCTATATATCGACCCCTCCGACCAACACCAAACCATTAGCTCTTGCATCAGACTCATTCTGGGAAACCTATTTCTAGGACTGTTTTTGGATGGATTGTATTAAATGTGGCTTGGCTCCTCACTTTTCCTTTACCATTATATGTTGAGCATATTAGTATATTATCTGGTCCTATGCACTCCAAATACAATGTCCTATATTCAAATATTTATCAAAATCAATCCTATTCAACTGATTCAACTTTCATTTGAGCTGAGTGACATGACACAACAATGCAAACATGCTCAAAAGGGAGTGGGGGGAAGTACAGTATTGTACTTCCTCCCACATATGTCTGCGACCCCTCAAACAAATGATTTGGCTGTTTATGTCCCAATCCCTATTTGAGACAAATGACACCCACCAACAGAAGAGAAAGGATTGTTCTATTGTTGGAAAAATATGGCAAAAAACCCTCGAAAGTTTTTCTAAACTTGAAAACCTGGGAAGTCTTGAGTTTTCAAAGTCGATTTTACAGGGGAGGCCCTTGAGAGAGGGGAGCTTTTATGTTTTTAGTAGTATAGGGGAAACCGGAGCACCCTGAGGAAACCACAGACACAGGGAGAACAAACTCCACTCAGAAAGGCCATGCTTGCTGATGGGATCAATTATTTAAGTGTAAGCCTATAAGAACAATCAAAGACAGATTCTTTAGCGTACATCATGAAGCCTTTATAAACATGAGTAAGATTGTGTTCCAAGTGTTCAGAACACTTTCCAGAAATGAATAAATGCAATATTTGTCTGTTATAGTGTACTTGCATATTACATACATCTTAAATGTGTGTTGTTGGAGGATAATGATGCAATGTCTATATTGTAGCATACGCTGAGAGCGGATTGAATTAAAATAAGGTTGGATAAGCCAATCCCTTTTCAAACCATGCACAGGTTTTCTTGTTTTCCCTTTTGATCATATTTTTATTTGAATAATTGTCTGTATATTTCTTGCATGTTTGAAATAAATAAACAAATGAATAATGATCAGGGTCAGAGTGAGGTAGAGCAGCAGCTAACATGCATGCATCAATGTCAGACAACTACAGATGTTGGTCCACGCTTGAGTTTTGTGAGTGGCAGACATACTGTTTTATAGTTGCATATTTGAGTGACCCGTCACCCCTCACCTCGTCAACCATAGAGCATTTCCCAATTTTGTTTTTGAAAATCAGATCACCCAATGACTCACTGATGTTACAATTTATGTTACATGGTCCTATAGTGAAGAAAACTACACAAAAATGGTTTGGGATTGTGTCACAGCAGGAGACAAGCTCAAATATTCACATTATTTCATACCAAGGCAAAAATACAGCATCCCCCTCCCATCTACCTCTAAATAAGATAAAAGAAAGCATTTACAGACTTATGCATTTGTTGTATGGACAGCTCAGTTTCAACAAAACAGTTTAAAATATCCGGACTAGTATTAAAAAATCTTTATTCTTCATGACTGAGGATCTCACTCGGGGAGGAAGTGCTCGCATCTATCTCAAGATAAACTACAAATGCCACTCTTCACTACACGGCGTCCTGGGAAATGTAGTATCCCGAAGAACTACATTTGAATGACATTTAAATATATAAATATTCGTACATTTTGTAGTCATTTTATTGAACTCTAAATCATTGCTTTTTGCCATGCAAAAATATTTAATTAAACCAACGTTGTTGAACTTCCGGACTACATTATTACGCATAGTCACGTGACCAGGATGTGAGGACGCGACACGGAACAGTTGACATGGAAGATGCAGCGTATTTTCTTGTTAAATATATTAGTTAAAACAGAACAACGCATACTTTTGTCAAAATGTCAGACTTCCGTGGCGTGTCTTTGTTATCCTTATCGCTCCTCCTGCTGCTGCTACACGCAAACCCGTGTATGCTAACGCTAGCTCAGCAGAGAAGTGCAGATGGAGATGCTGCTGATGACCACAAGCCTGCTACAGATGCCAAACAGACCGTATTAATAAATAATAAAGGACACGATGGAACGGGTGAAGACGAGCAGCCAAAGGACGGGCAGCCTGCCAGGTTTGAGAGGTTATTTCTGCATGTGCTCTCTATGAAGCTCCTAACTAACCCCAGATGATTCTACTGGTGTATTTTACTCTTCATGTTTACAGCCTGAAAGTGTTTATGACAGGTTCAACATTTATTTTCACAATTAACAGTTAAGGTTTCTTATGTTTATGACTTTGTTCAAGATTTTTTTTTCCGAATTTCATCCCAGTTTGGCCAAATGCTTTATTCATAATTTTACTTCCTGGTTGTAAATTACATCAATGGAGCTCAGCTAAGCAGGGAAAGGCCTGGTTGTTACTGTGATGGTAGATATCTGGGAAAACCAGGGGCCACAGTGGGGCAGCTGTGGCTGTAAAGTGCAAAACTGCCGTTGTCCTTTGGTAAACTCCTCTGCAACATGTGTGTATGTCTGTCTTTTTCATTTAACTAAGAGTCTTTCAAATACATCATATTCTTATTTTAATATACTGTATTTGAAACTACAATAATTACAACAGCAATTTAATTGCAAAATGTGATAGATTTCTGCTATTATTTTTGTAAACTTGAGACATTTTGCCGTGAAAAGTTCAAACAGTTCTTGCTCATTAACTACTGGTATGGGCTAGTTAAATTCTGCTGTTTATTGCTTTAATTGAATTTTCCTGCTGTCTTGTATTGTGTCAGTGGCCTCACTGGCATAAAGTAATGGTATAGTTTATCACAATAATTTCCTCAAGCAATATTCTTAATCCTCCCTTAACATGAGTTATTCTGATGGACCTATATTCATATTTGCATCATATATCCCCCTTGACACAACCTAAACAGCCTTTTGTGATTGACAATGTAATATTTGTTCAAATTGTTTTAATATAAAATCAGACAGCAGGAGTCTCTTTTGGGTTGCCAGATTTTTCGGTCAAATCCATTGTGTTAAAGCCTGACTTGTGATATTAGAGGCAGTGGAGTAGTTACATGCATGTGTTGATACTAACACAACTGCTTTACATATTTGTAAAGACTTTTTACACCTGAGATAACAGCAGATACCTTCTTTTTAAAGACGGTTATTGTCTCCCCATTAACTGAACTTTTCCTTCTGCAGCAAATCAAATGAGACAGATTCCTACAGCAACGATACTGTCCTTTCTCCACAAACAACAAATAAGCCAATGCCAGCAGCACCCCCCACCGCCAAACCCATACTCCCGGTGCAGACTGGTGTCAAGGCTCAAGAAGAGGAGCAATCCAACGGGCTGACTATATTCTTCAGCCTTCTGGTTATTGGTTGGTATCTGGCTTATGTTTCTGTTCTGTACCAACACATTTTGATCACATTTTGATGCCTTAAAACAAGATTTGCCAATGGGACAAGAAAAATTATCTTGTTTTAAAAAGATGCAAGAAATGTCTCTCTTGGAATGAGGAAATCAAGAAACAGTTCTTGAAATAAGAGCAAATGGCATGGTCGAATTGGCAAATCTTGTTTTAAGACAGTCACAATGAATTATTATTACCTTATAAATTGTATATTTTTTTGCAGTGTTGTGTTTGTGGAAGTAAATGCATGAGATAAATGTGGTTATTATGTGAAACACCGCAAGCTACTGCTCTCCCTCAGAAAGTGCCCATAATGCGTTTTTGTTCTTAGCAGTCACATGTTTTTAACCACAAGAGCTTTATGTTGGACATAAATTATGCATTATGGCCCCATATCCACTGGGTCCCAATAGTAGAACATATGAACAAACCGGTTTTGTGTGCATCTACTGTGCTCTATCCTCAATGCAATGCTTTTGAACTCCAATTTGCCTATCAGTTCATTTTTACATCTGGGCATTCATTTATTTTACTTATCGTTTTTGTTGTCTCCGCCACAGGTATTGGCATCATATTGGTGCATCTTCTTATCAAATTCAAGCTACATTTTCTTCCTGAAAGTGTAGCTGTTGTTTCCCTGGGTGAGTAATGCATTTCATAAAACTAGATTGATGTAATGTTTGTTGCATACTATGTTAACGAAACAAAGTTAAAAAGTTATGGTTAAATGACTATGAACTGTGGGCACAGTGGTGGGAGGGATCATAGTATTTAATTGCTTCTTATGTCATTAAACTTAAATGAACCGTTTAAATGAGGCCTGTTCTAAACGGACCAAACCTGACCTGATCAACCGGCTGCTGCAGCCTGATGCGTTTACTCTTGATGTTTGGAGGACAGAGAAGGACCTCAAACATCAAGTGTGATGCTGTTTTCTTTGTGATTTTTTTTTTAATTAACAAACTTATAACAAAAATACATTTCACCAAACAAACAACCCAAATGAGAAACTCAAGTCCGTTTTACTTTTTAAAGTGATTGGAGTTTGTGAGAAAAAAAAGAGAGAGGTACATGATTTGAAAAAAACCGACACAAGCCCCCTCCCCCTTCCTTTCTGATTGGTCTATGCCGACGTTTCCGTAACAATCAATCAACACATTTAATTGTTAATTGGAGAACACATTATACATTATTAATTAGGGGTGTGACGATATATCGCGATACTTTCTCCCGCGATTCGATTATCGATATGCATTTGCCAAGTATCTATCGATTTTTAAAAAATCGATAGATTATTTTTTTGGAATTGGTATCAATACTTAATATATGGCTACATTACGCATCTCCATTCCATTTATCATGAAATAAAGTGTATTTTTTATTTTATTTATGCCATAAATTGGCATATTGTATATTTCTGATTTTTCTGACCGTTATCGTGATATCGTTATCGTGATAATATCCTTATTGTGAGCTGTGTATCGTATCGTATCGTGAGGTACCCTTAGGTTCCCACCCCAATTATTAATACACATGCACAGAGGTTTTCAGAATTATTTGTTAACGTTTTCATGGCAAAAATAATTCACAAAAAAAGCGATCGTGGGAAACCCGGAAGTAGCTATTAACATTAATTGAACATTATAGGACACATCTGCAGAGGATCTGATTATGGATATAGGTTCAGTAAATAAATGATTATGGATATAGGTTCAGTATATAAATGAGTAACTCGGCGCAGAGTTACTCATGTAGTTTCAGAGCCTAATGGAGCCTAATGGAGGCTTGATTCAAAGGCTCCGTGGAAACAAACAACTGAACATGAGCGTCGATGATTGACAGCCCTTGGCATCACTTGATTGGTTAAACTGGACGGCATTGTGGATTTTGAGCTATAGCTAAGAGAAGGGAAGACGGGACTCGTAATATTAGAATTCATAAAGTGACTTATTTTATATCAACATTTAAGGCCAGGAGGTCAATTTAAAACAATTATTAACATGTGTAATTATTTAGAGTTCCAGACTATCACTTTAATAAGATAATGACAAATGAATGATATATATTTTGTGTGCTCTCACTGCTGTCCTGTTTGTGCGTTGCAACACTGAAATGATAAGATAACCTTTATTAGTCACAAAGTGGGGACACTTTGTGACTAATAAAGGTTATCTTATCTTAATTTTAAATTGCATCTCTACTGTATATCTAATATGTGCCCAGAGATAACAGGTCAACATGTACAAATCATATTTGACCTTCTGAACAGAAGGTTAAAGTGGAGTTATTCTTAATTAAAAGGTACAATACTTGAGTCTCTCGTTTGGGCTCCTAGTTTTTTAGTTGAAATGTGTCTTTTTCTTTTTTTTTTAATATAACAAAATTAGTGCTTTGGAGGAATATGTGTCACAGACAGTAAGATGCTGGCATTAACAGTTGAACTGTATTTATATTGACTTTATTAGACCACTAATGATATCACAAAGTGATTGAATATCCTCAACCTCTGTCCCTCTTTATGTTCTATCGCTGTCACACATTTATTCTTTTGTTTCAAACAGTTCTAATGTTTTGCACCAGTGTCCTTTGGTCCACACAGATAACAGTCTCACAAACCAGGAAGTTCTGTTTTCCTTCCTCTCGATTTCCTCTTTCTTTGTGCGTTTTCCTTTGCGCCTTCTGCGTCTGTCTCTCGAGGCATCCGTCCATATCACACTTATTATCAACCGTAGCCTAAAATTCCGAGGTATCCAAGCTAACTATACATTTCTTGCACTAGAATTTACAGTAGTTTGTACTTCATTATGCTAAAGTTGGAGATTGTAGATTTTCTCCCTTATTATTCTAAAGTCAGAGATTTTGTTCCTAATTCTTGCTTCTTCATTATGCTAAAGTTGGCGACTTTAGATTTTCTTCTGTTAAATTCCTTATTACGCTCTAACTACAGATTTTATACTTGCTTCTTTTTGTGCTGAAGTTAGAGATTATATTTTTTTAGAGTTTCCGTTATCTCATTCCTACTGCTGATGCAACACTGACATTTCCCCACTTTGAGACAAAGAATCTCATTATCTTAATCTTAATCCTGCATTCCCACATCTTTTTAATAAACTAGTAGATCCTTTTGTCAATTTTGAGAATCCCTAGAGTGGTCTCTCTCACTAAGACAAAACTACACAATAACTAAGAATTAAATTGTCGGGAAACTGAGATGACTTTTTTATTTTTACTGCCGAAATAGTGGCTGCACACCAGACATGCAGCGTTTTAACGGTCAAGAGTTTGAAATTTTAATGACATTATAAAAGTTTAAACAGTTTGTGCGTGTGTGGTTTTTGCTCTCAACAGTGTCTCTTTGTTCTTTCTAGGAATCCTAATGGGAGGCTTCATTAAGATCATTGAATTCCAGGAGCTGGCCAACTGGAAGGTACGCACAGTCAGTCACTTTACTGCTTTGTGTCCTGGCCTTATCAGAAATAACAATCTGAACAAAGTTTGCAAGATGGGTAAGAGTGGCTTTAGAAAGATAATCATTTCTATTGCATTAAAGCCCAAATTATTGTTTTTTTATCATTTACGTTTTGACACTTCCATATTATATTGTTAAAAATGTAAAAGTAGCTATGCATTGTATATACCGTATAATAAAAGTCCACTCTATCACAACTGCAGTCGCCTTCACAAAGTTGTTGATTTGCCAATAGAAGATACAGTAGATTGATTGCTTTTTTTCTTTCAAGCAGATATCTTACATTCATTCAAGTGTTTACATGACCTTATGAACATGTTTCCTTCATTGCTTACAGTATATACACTCACATACAAATATAACATACATTTACAATCAAGCAACAATACATTTCCTAGTTTCACCATGTGTTGTATATTTACCATCTCAATATGTATCTGCAAATGCATTTTTCTATTTGCAATTTTGTAAAATCATTGATAAGAGAAGAAAAGCAGATTAAGCAGTGACACAAGAATCAAGCAAATGACAGATTGTCCCTGAGCATAATTGAATTTGACATAATTGAAATATTGTAAAAGATGATTTAAGAATGTTAACATGAACTTTTACGACATATTTCAAAGTTTACATTTGTTTTCTGTGGGGCTGGGTTTTTCCAATAACCAACAACTGTTTTTGTAATCGATTATTTGTTAACCACTGTACAAACTTTGAACACATGAAAAAGCTTAAAGACACAAAGGAAATAAAGGGAAGCCTACCTCTGCAATTGGATTTAATTTAGAAAATATTACATGATTTTGACCAAAAAACCCTGTAGTATCATCCAAGTATTTTCATAATAAATATATTTAAAACAGTTCCCCCCCTTGGAATAAGCATCTTAATTTTTAACTTCAAATCACTGCTTAAAACCCACCTGCCACCACTTTTTTGTTCATATTAACTGAGAAATGTGTGGTAGATCTGATTGCCACCTCCGACCCAGAAATGGAATAAAAGAGGGAATGAAAATTAATATCATTATTAATAATATTGAACTTTGCGTCCAATCAGGAACCTCTGGGGGCGGGTCTAAGTGGCGCCTGCAATTGAAAAGTCACTCCATGTTCACAATTTGAAAAATAACTGACCTTGACCTTTATAATTGAATTCTTGTAAATCTCACTTTTTTAATGGTATGACAGTTTTGTCTCTAAATAACAAGATATTTGGCAATCAGAATGTTCTTAAGCTGTATCACTTAAGCTTATAATGCTGAGTCAATTTTAGATAAAATGTTATATCAGTGCGCTAAACAACTTATTGATGAACTGAGAGAATAATCGCTCATGTACTCTATTCTCAAAATGATATTCAGTTGTTGATGCTTGATGTAACTGTATTTCTCTCACTCCCTTACATGTTTTAGTTCTGAGAATCTCCTCCCAAATCCCCTCAGTACAGTTGTAACTCCATGTCCGTGGTTGCTCCCTCTGCCCGCTATGTAACTACCCTTTCTGCATTTTCTCCCAACCTTTAATTAACATTCCTTGTTCTCTGCCTGTGAGTGAGACAACGGAACGGGAGCAGAAGGGGGTGGGTGGAAAAGCGGGACAGGTTGTGTCAATGTTTCTCTCAAACAGGAACTCATTGTGTTTTTTTTTTTTTCTTTGTGCCCTTGGGCCCCACGTGTGCGCTGCTGAATCACTGGAGCCAGTAACTAGAGCCCCTGGAGCCCCCGTTACCTCTCTGGGCCTGTCCTTTGAATGCTTGAGCTGCAATCACGTGCTCACCTGTCCATAAAGACAGCTTTCTCCTTTGTGAGGGATGCCGTGGACAAGTTACTCAGTGGCCATGGCTAGTTGTAGAATTACCATCAGATTTGAAGCAGGAAGAAACAGTACAGGATCAGAATCTTTTTTTAAAATTGTTTTATTACCATTGTTGGTAACGACAAGTCACAAACTAGGACACGGTTTTAGATAGCGGTGCAAACAAGTTATAAAAGTAAAAGATAGAATAAGGCATCCATGAAAAGAAAAATTATCTACTTAACATTTCTTATAATTACTACTATATACTATTGCTGAGGGCAAGGGGCATCAATATCATCCACAATATCATGTGGATGAGACATTAAAGCTCGGCTACCTTTCTTTATCCATCCTAGCTTGAAACGCAAAACCAACTTTTCACAGCTTCTGGCAATGCTAAAGTTGTTTTTATTGTAATTCATGTTTGAGCAATGTATGTAATGTGAATTATGGCCCCTCTCCAGCTTCTCTGAGCACCGTGATGTGGCTTCTGTTTTAACTTGTCTTTGCCTTGTATGCCGATAAAAATCTTTGACATGAGCGGAGAGCGTCCAATTCCTTTGACGTAGTCATGTTGTCGCTGACGAAGCTGGAGGAAACTGACTTTGAAACCACAAAAATAACATAGATAAACGCTATTGTCCCCAAGGGGAATGTGCTGTGGGACACGGTTCTATACAGATGAAAAACACGAGTACATGAATTGAAATCGTAGTGAAGCGCCGTAGTGCGTTGAGTTCTCTGTTTAGTTCATTTCAGCATAAAAAATAAATGGATAATGGATTAAACAAATGAAATCAAATACGATGCAAAATAGTTCTTCATATCATGTTTAGTTTCACATTTTTTATGATAATTATTTTTCTTGCCTCTGAAGTATTGGATGTAGTTGGTTGATATGTTACTACTTTAAATGTCTATTGTGTGTATTTATATATCAGAGTATATATAGATTATAGATTATGAATGGATGCCTTTTATATCAATTTTTCGCTTTTTTATTACTTGTTATTCCTGTTGTGTATTCCTAGTTAGTGACTTCCTGTTACTTACAATAGCAATATGAATAGTTCTGATTCTCATTTTGCGGACAGAAAGTCGGTGGATGTACTTTTGGCTTCCGTCAAAAATTAATCTCAACTTTTTTCAGTGAAATGATTTCATTAGATATAAAATGATTAGTTACGGGTTTTATCGGCCTGTCGGGAGCAGATCCCTCTCTCAATGTAGGCTTTCCTGAGGTTTCTCACTTTTTCCTGCTGGGTTTTTAAGTGTTTTTCCTTGCCAATGCAGGAGTGTCAAAGGACAGTAGTGATGTTCCAGGAAACTCAACATTCAACAGAATGAATGGACATTTATCAACATTTACTGACAGTGGTCATCTACCCCACAATATCTGAACTCTGTTCATTGTAAAGCACATTGGGTGACTTTGGTCTGTAAAAATGCTCTATATAATTGAAGAATACCTACTTATGGACCAATGGCGCTTTGTGTTTCATATCATTGCAGTTCTTGTGTTTGAACTGTTTGATTTTCTGATCTATTGGTGAATTCAACGGTTGTGTTTTAGGCCCCCGAGATAACTACTGTTGTGATTTATGGCTATACAGGAATACATTGAATTGAATGAATTTAGGCAGAACCAGCCATGTTTTTTGTGTCAGCCTCAACAAGTGAGAAAGCAGTGCGCGTTACCAGCTTGTGTCCCAATTGGCAAATCAAACAAGCCTGTGGCATCGACCCGGAAACGAGGAGAGTAGAAGTCCCACAGGCAGCATCCTTCTGTCACTATCGCAGTGGCACAGATCTCCAGTCTGTTAGTACACATTCTCACTTGTTTCGTCTTCATCTCATCCCAGAGGTGCAACTCCAGCAGATGTAAGCGCATTGTCAGAGGAATGTTTTGTTTTGACTTTGGCGTCTTCATTCTCCTGTGAGGCTCCTGGCTACAGACAGGAACAATAAACTCAGTTTTATCCCCTGGATTACGTGGTTTATATTATTACGTTTTTGTTTTCCTTTTTAAGATTTTATGTTAGTTATCTGTGTTGTCTGTATTTACCTTCTGGGATAAATAAAGTATTTGATGTAATCCAAACTGATACATTTTACCTCTTCAGTTCAAGTTTTTGTTCAGCCTTAAATCACAACAATATTTGTCTCAGGGGACTTTACAAAACTGTAGAATTTACCAATGCAGATCAGAGAATCAAACAGTTCAAGCGTAAGAAATGCAATGATAAAAACTTATATTGAGCCATTGGTCCGGAAGGGGCGCATGACCAATGTCCATAAATGTCCTTAAATGTCGAGTGTCATGGATCATCACCACTGTCCTTGGACCCTACATTGTCGAGAGAAAACTCTAAAAACCCAGTGGGGGAAAAGTGAGAAATCTCAGAGAGGCCCACATTGACCTCTTAGCCACCACCACTGCATCGCCGCAGCAGTGTTGCGTTTTTTGAAGTCAGTTTATTAAAATTCAGCGGAAGTGGTAGGTGGGCTTTGATGGCAGACCAGTTTGAGCTGGCAGCTTATCAAGTTCCTCAACAACAAGATCAAATATGTCAGATTACAGGAGTACCGCCATCTGCTCATGGAGCTGCTCCAGAATCAGCACATTTACTTCCTTCTCTGCAAGATCGTGTCAGCAGCACATGTTAAACCCAGTCCATCACTGCGTCCATCATTGTCAGTCCTGGTTTAGTCTTGGTAAAAAGTCCTTGTTTCTTCCTCCTGCTCCCAGTGGCTATTGTCCCAAGCAACATTGTGCTACTCCCTGATTGTTTGCCAAACACCACTCCCGCCAAATAGTTCTGCAATGTTCATCTCCTGGGCAAAAACGTTTCTGCGGGCAGCAGTTATTCGCACCAATGTACGGCACCATTAATGTTGCATGTTTATCTGCCGCAACGCTGGGCTGGTGGAAACAGGGCTGTAGGGAGATGAGGAAGAAGGTTTTAAGATCTATCTGCTTTTATTTCGCTGTGGTACTTTAGTTTTACAGTTGAAAATACTTTATTCATGAGCCATTTTTTTTTAGTTTAGTAATTTACAAGAAATTTCTATTCCAATCAGCGGACTAAAAGGCCATTAATGGATGCCTTCCCATTAGACATAAGCTGCTTGTTCAGACTATTACTGTTATTGTGGGTAAAACATGATATGACGATTATTCTAGATGAATGGATCATTAAGTTGTGAAGATTTGCTGGGGCTGTTGTACATTAGTAGTAGGGGAAACCGGAGCATTTTAGTATTGTGGTGATCAATGTTTTGAAATCAAACTTTGTGCAGTCTAAAGTTCAGTTTGTGTTAAGGTTTTTGTCACTATTAGTTTATTAATATTATTTGTTCGGTCAACAACAACAAAACAACTTCCATTACATTGATTGACAATTTTATAGTCCAACAAGGTTTAGGCAGAAGATAAACACTTATTTCACTTATATATATATATATATATATATATATATATATTCCAAATACACCACACACGCACACAACACCTATTACAACTGTTGTCCATACTAGTTCAGACAAAACCAAGTAGATATATTTTTATTTTTGTTCTCAGAATTGTAAAATGTAATAAATGCAGCTCCCTCTGCTCTGTAGTAAACAGTTCTGTTCTCGGCTGTTAAACGTGTGCATTCCAGTGTACAACTACACAGCTGTACTTGTCAGATTGTAGGGCATGCATGGCCTACTGACTCCTCTCTCTTATACACACACGCACACACACACGCACATGCACACGCACACACACATTCATATTTATTTATGACCTTTCTACTTCTGGAGGGTAAAGGTTGCCAAGGAAATGCCAGCTTCTTATTTTTACTTATTTTATTTTAGCTTTGACCTAAATCTTATTCAGTGAGTTGAGGGATGTTGGGGTAAATTATATAATACTATTACATTTGCATTTTGTCTAAGCTTGATACATTTATATACTTATTTAACTGACAGCATTTCTCAGTTTTGAAGGTTTATGTCTTGTTATCATGCTGCGATTTGACCCCTCCCCCCAAGAAATACACATGGAAATTAGCTGCTAAGCTTCAGTTTGGTATTATCATCTCTGCGTTTATGCTTAAGACGTAACATGCTTATGCTGCTATATAATCTGCACCAGTAGTTTATTTTATTTCAATACTGATCTATACCATGTTGTAAAGATGAGAACTTCTGGAATCCAGACGTTTATTTATATTGATTGGGTTAGTATACAAATTAACTCTTACTAATTTTGATTGGACACCCCTGATCTAAAGCAAAGTTATACATGGAAAATTCAATGCACTTTTGCCCAGTCCTGCGGTATCGTTCTGCGCTCTGCCCCATGCCTTTACACAGTTTTCCCAGATTTGTCAGTCGTAGACAGATTTCAAAACTGTAATGACTGGATTTGGGCTGCTCTGAGCTTTAAAAAGGGGTATGGCATTTCCATTTTGGGAAATATAGTCACATTTGCCAGTTTACTTTACTTTAATTTGGTGACTCAATTTTTTTATTTGTTTAATCATTTTGCAATCTCAAACAGATGATACAGATCATGTCATATTCCAAAAAACAAAAGGCAATGACTGCAAGGGCTTAGGCTGAAGAAAGTAAGATATATACAAATAAAGTCAAAGCTTTAACACTGTGAACTTGTTCAGATGATCTCTATGACTACTTTGTGTTTGTTCGCACATGCATGATTAAGACCCCCAGAAATGTAGTTTATTTAAGGAAAGCCCCTTGAGATAAATCATCTCATTTCCGAGGGGGTCTGAAACATAAATACAAACATACATAACAATTTACAGAGCATTAAGGATAAGAAAAGATCATTTCGAAGAGAGATCAATCGACACTAACCATTATTGTGTGAAACAGATCATCAGCTGGAACCACATGAATATGTTCTATAGGCCGCTTCTTCCTCTTCCCATCTTGCTTTGTGATGTCACACAAACAGGCTTGTACCCAGACCACATGGTGCCCCGTGCTTCCACACATTGGCACATGATTGCTATACGCCTGATCCTGACAAGCAACAATGATTTCATTATATGCATGGGATCGTCAAGCGGGCTAAGGTCACCGGGATACTTCCAGTCTGTGCGTGTGAGACTGGAAATAGTATGACATTTATGGTATTTTTTCCGGCTGTGGCACGAGGGGCACTGTCACTAGATATAAGCCGAAGCATGGATGCATAGGCTGGCAGGGATTCCCTTCTTTAGACTGTGTCATGCGAACGTCTGATGGAAATGCGTGTTGACAAGTTTGTGTTAGTCATGGCACACGCTCTACTTCCTGCTGCATAATGTCCCCGTTACTACGACTGTGGATTTGGTGTTGGAACATTCTCTTGGACTCGAGCGTACATCAATCCCGCATCAAATCAGAATTTGTTCTATTACATGGATTACTATGGAGCTCCTAAAAGAACTCAAATAAAAACAGGATCATTGACCTGTTTTAAAAAATATATATTTTATAAAGACCACCAAAAATCTTTATCATTAAAGCTGGGGTCCCACCTCTACACCTTCTCCACTGACTCCCACTGATGACTGCTGTCGTTGTGTCCTTGGGCAAGACACTTAACCCCACTTTGCCCAAAAGCCCCCACTGAAAGATCAAGGCTATGCTCACACTCAGAGAGCAGCCGTCCTCCTGTGGACTCACCACCTGCAGAGGATCAGTGAGGGGCTGGTGCTATGAGACTTGGGTGGCATCTCTGATTGCCACCACCCTGACCCAGAAATGGATTAAAGGGTAGAAAATGGATGGATGAATGGATAAAGCTGGGGTCTCTAAATCTTTCTGTCCAAAGCCCAGAATATGCGGCCCTCATATTAGAAAGCATGTTATGTATTTTCCATACTGAGAGCGGATTTGCTGAGTGAGGCCTGGTTTTCTATTTTTCACTGAAGAAGCTGGTATGAAAAACTAGCGATGGAACCAAACAGTTTTGAGTGTGAGGAACTACATAGTTACATGGATTGTATAAGTTAGATCAAGAGTGTCAAACCGGTGTCAGTGTGACCGTGTGGCTGCAGGTTTTCAATCCAACCAATCTGGAGCACATCATTTCCTCAAGTGAGTCTTGTCTGAACCTGAAAACTTGACGAAATGGGTGGAGTCTGGTGTTTTCCTGGTTTGGACCACTTTGACCCCCCCTGACTTGGATCATCTTTAGCTTTAAAGATCTTTAGTTGAGGAGAAAAGTACAATATAAAAAGTATAATATAATAAGAATACAAATTTTAGAGAAAGAACTAAGAACCACCTAACCCTCTTGCTAGAATATTTCAGCCTGACACATTATTACAGGTGAATGACACACAGGGTCAGTTCATTGTATAATCTGACAGCAGCTGGAAAATGGTAAATGTACTTAAGGCTAATTTTTTTTAGACTTTCTTTTCATTAGACCTTATTCTGTCAAACTGCAATTCCTGTAAGAAAAGAGCTCCACATGCACCTTCTTTTTGTCACTTAAATGATGGTTACATTGTTGCGTTTTATTTATGGTTCAGTCAATTCTTTCAACTGCTTTTCTTTTTCCCTATTTCTTTGGTTTCAGGAAGAGGAGATGTTTCGGCCCAACATGTTCTTCCTTTTGCTGCTGCCACCGATCATTTTTGAATCTGGCTACTCCTTGCACAAGGTAAAAACAGTGGTTCTTAAAGTTGGGGGTGGAGAAGAGGTTAAAATTGTATAATTTCTCTGTATTATTTGAAAGAAAAAACAATAATTGTATTGTAACAAGGTCAAATAACTAGGGCTGTCAAACGATTAATTTTTTTTAGTTGATTAATCGCATAGTAATGGTGAGTTAACTCACGATTAATCACATTTTTAACATTCTATTTCAAATCCACTCCAATTGAAAATGTAATGACACATTGTTATTCATACCAAATGTACTTAAATCTGGTTGATTTGCTCACAACCTTCTACTTTTGGGTACAACCAACAAGAGCTGTTAATGAAAGGGAAAATGTAGGTACCCCAGCTTTAATTTTGCGAGTTTGGTTGCATTTCAGCGTGTCTCCTCCTCTCCTCCGAGTGTTACACAACATCAGAGAATGGCCCCTGTGCGTGTATTATATGTGTGTATTATATGACCACGTTAACGCTGTCACCATCACACACGCGCACGTGTCCGTGGCATTCTGAGTGATATTATTATAAATGGGCGGGTCATTCGGACATGCGTTAATTATTTTTTAACGCGTTAATGAAAACGGTAATTAACGTGAATTAACGCGATAATTTTGACAGCCCTACAAATAACACATATAATGACTCGCATTAAAATCATATTTTCAATAATTATGAAACTTCTCATACTATACTTTCACTGTTTTAAAAGTCATTCAGCGATGGTGGTCATGAGTCCCTGAAAACACAATCATAAACATCCATCCATCCATCCATTTTCTTCCCCTTAATCCATTTCTGGGTCGGGGGGGTGGCAGTCAGAGCTGCACCCAGTTCACAGAGCACCAGCACAATCATAAACAATAGTGACCAAATATTGTATTAAATTCAGTCTTTGTATTAGTGTGTTTTGTTTGTTGTTTCAAAAGGCAAGGCAAGTAAAGTTTATTTGTTTACCACAGTTCATAGCACAACAATTAATATCTGATTTCTGAACATTGTGAAGTGCTTTGGGTGACCTTGGTCTGTGAAATGCACAATATAATAAGACAATTTTAAAAAGAGAAATAATACGCTACTCAAAGCCATAAATAATCACATTCAAAGGAGTGAAGATAGTTGAGTTGGTTCTTATGCCGCTAACATGTCATGGATGTACTGTTGTGTTTTTTTCTCTTTAGGGTAATTTCTTCCAGAACATCGGCTCCATATCTCTCTTTGCTGTGATCGGCACGGCTATTTCTGCATTTATAGTCGGAGGTGGCATATATTTCCTGGGACAGGTGAGGGCAGATGATGTCATTACTGTTATTTGGTCACTAATCAACCAAATCACTGAACATTTTCTGACTTTTGTACATCTTGTTCCTTCTCGTAGGCAGATGTCATTTACAAGATGTCCATGACCGACAGGTATGACAACGATTCCTGTAGTTTGCTTGTACAAAGTCAAGCTTGTCCAATACAATGTCAATACTTCAATATTTGATAACCCCTTTTCTTTGGTCTTTTTCACCTATTTGACGCAATGCTGCTCTGTAATGCACTGTGCAAATGTAAGGCAAGGCAAGTTTATTTGTTTGGCACAGTTCATACACACAATAAAATAAGATGGAAAACAATCACAGAAGGGATTAAAATGAGTAATCCCATTACATTTACAGTGCATTAAAAAGAGTATAGATGCAATCCCTCAGGTGTATTGTACAGACTGTAGTCCCAGGGCAGAGGCAAAGTGACAGCAGGTTTAAAGCATTTCAATAACAGGTCAAATTTAACTGATGTGAACAGTTTGAAATTACAGGTAACTTTAGTCAAGAAATCAGTTGCTTTATTTCATTTTTGTTAAGTTGTCATTTTGTTTGTTTACGTTTTTGTTTTGTTTCCTTGTTTTTTGTGGATATATTTAACGGAGTATTCTCATCCTTCCTTCAAAATAAAATGATTGAATGAATGAGCAAAAGGGTTGAATGATCAAAACCAAACATCATATTCACTCAAACCACATTTTTCCTGGATCAGGCCTGATATTGGATACCAGCATCGGTGTCTGAACAAAGTCTCCTCTCCGGTTTAATGTTTAAAATGGTGTGTCAGTCTTTTTTCAAAGGTTTTCTCTTTATAATGACCTCTCACTGAACGGTCCACCTGAATGTGTGCATTGTACAGTTTTCTTGCTTTTTCTGCTTATTTAAATTCCTTTGGTACAGAGAGCTATGAGATTAATGCCAAAATATTTTTACTTTAAAGTCAAAATACGAGAATAAAGTCAAGGTGTCAATATTATGAGAGTATTCCTATAATATTATGAAAATAAACTTGAAATATTGAGAACAAACTATAAAGCCATAAATGTCAGTCTGTGCATAATTTAGAAAATGGAGCTCCGTCGTACATAGCGTCTAAATGAACAGACGCCTGAGAATCTCTTGATGGTATTTTGGTTTTAGGGTTTAATGACATACAAAGTCATATTACGAAGTTTTTTTTATGTGTTTGACTATTCTCAACATATTTTGAGTTTATTCTCCTAATATTTCAACTTTAAAGTCTGAATATTCTGACTTTAATCTCATAGCATCTGGGAAATAAACAAAATCAGGTATAATTCTAGATTGACTGGCTTATGCTATTGTCGCTCACATTCATTGCATTCAAATCTTCTGTTTCGGTGTAAGAAGTAACAGATTGGTCTCTCCTTATTACTCTACTTTCCTCATGTTTCCTCTTCATTCATCTTCAGTTTTGCCTTTGGCTCCCTGATATCCGCCGTGGATCCAGTTGCCACAATCGCCATCTTCAACGCCCTGAACGTGGACCCGGTTCTCAACATGCTCGTGTTTGGGGAGAGCATTCTCAATGACGCCGTCTCCATTGTGCTGACAAAGTAAGAAACCAATTTGATGCACTATTACAACCTTGTGACTAAAACGGTAATGGTAATGGTCACTTGAAACTGTTATTGATAAACCTAAAGTGTATTGTTTGGAGATCAGCTTCTATGTACTGAGACTTAGTTCTCTAAATCCTCAAATCTCTAAAGCAAATGTGTCCATCCTGAGGGCCCACAAGATCTTTTTAAACTTTAAATATTAACTTCATCATCAGCAGCATATTGGGTACACTGACAAAAAATGATAAAATATGAGGTTCATGCTTGAATTGTGTTTTTTTCTTAACTTGAGTTCCTTCTGACTGTCTTAAAACAAGATTTACCAATGGTACAATGCCGTGTGGTCTTATTTCAAGAACTATTGCTTTATTCTTTCATTCCAAGATAGACATTGTTTGTATCTCTTTAAAACAATATATTGTAGCTTGTCCCATTGGCAAATCTTGTTTTAAGGCAGTCAAAATGTGCTCAAATAAGATACCTTTGGCCAAATTTGAGCAATTTTGATCTTATTGGTCACCACTTTTTGCAGTGTTACTATGTTACTACTACTATATGTTATATATGTATAAAAAGTAGTATTTTCTCAATAAAACTACCATATTTATTTCAAGCAGAGTTCAACAGCTCTACTTAAACGTTGCCTTATTTAGTAATTAAACGCATCCCGAGGCTCCACTGTAAGACATCCCGAAAGAGCAGTGCTTCTGAGATGATCAATTATCACCAAAGTAAGTACTTCCTTTCAACTAACACTTTCAACTAGTAAAGCAGCTCCATGAAAGGGTTTTGGACACAAACAGTAGTCAATCCAGGTCTTAAGTAGATCCTGTTGCATAAACAAAACCTGCCTCATAATATGATACTGGCTACATAAGCAAACATGAGATCAGAAAGAAGAAATGGATTCACACAAGTCTCTCAGTTGGGGTTGCCAGATTCAATGGTGAAACCCAGCGTGGTTCTTCCTGATTTGAATCCCCTCTCCCTGTGTGCTTAGAGCTGTTGTCTTTTAGGCTAAAAGCGTCAATAAGTCAATAGACTCTAGAGATATTGGATTTAAAAAAGAGATTGAAATAATCCAAATAATGACAAAATGTGTTGTCAAAGTACTTGTGCTAATTCCTCCCATGCAGAGGAATGCATCAGAAGGAGCTCGAGCACCACACTTTGAGAGACATTGACGGAGAGAGCTGCAGCTATCAACTATTTTGTCATTTTATTGATTATTACCGTAATTTTATAGACAAAAAGCTTGATTGATAAAACATGTAAGGAGTTAGCATGAAAACCAACTTAATCTTCATCAGTTCGTCATGTTCTCATATGTCACATCCGTGCAATAATGTCAGAATGTGCAATATGGGACCACGTGTGTCACTTGAGTCACTTTTAGCCCAGAACCTCATGATGCTAACATGTAGAGTAGTATTTGTTCTGTAGGTTGAGTCCTGGATCTATAGCCCGTCCGTCCGTGGCATCCCTCTCCCAATGCGGGCCTCCCCAAGGTTTCTCACCTTTTCCCACTGGGTTTTAGAGTTTTTCCTTGCCGATGCAGGAAAAGGAAAAACTGGATCATCGTCATAAGGACTGTGATGATGATCCAGGACACTAGAAATTAAAAAAAAATTGAAATCTGCCCCTAATGGAGCAATGCCAATGTGTTCTCCTGTCATTGCATTTCTTTGTCTGATCTGTGTTGGCAAATCCAAACAGTTGTGTAAAGTCCTCCGAGTTAACTACTGTTGTGATTTATGGCTGTACAAGAATAAATTGAATTGTACCACATGCTGCTGACATGTACAGTAGTTTAATTACTCAGAACTAATGACTTATTATTTCAATATTCTTACACCACTGTGTATTGCAGATTTATCTACAGATGTATACATCAAGTATATTTTTCTTTGCACCAAAGTATACAGGTTTATACTTTTTATCTTGATTTAGAGATACTTTCTGATTTCCGTAGGAGAAATCCAGGTGTCCAGCAGTAGCAGAAACTCTTCCATGCATACAAACAAAACAAATAAATAGATCATTCTAAAAATAGATAACAATAGTATTAAAGTTAGCATTCCTCCAGTGGATTTTTTCCCGATCCACTTGGTTCGGACCATGAATCCTCTTCTGCTCCAGTCTGGACCAGTGCAAAACCATGAACACAGAGAGTAGATTTATAGAGTTGTGCTATATTCACTTATATTCACTCTTTTGTTGTGTGCTCCCCATTCCTACCTTTTTATAATTTGTGATGCAACACTGACATTTTTCCTCAGTGGGACAAATAAACAATCTCTTAATCTTAAATTGCGCAAAACAAGTACCGCATTGTGTCTCATGCGCTCCACAATTCCACAGTTTTAAGTAATTTCAAACGTTAAATTTTTAATCAAAGAAATAGAATAGTTATTGAAGATTTAGTCTCATGGAATCATTTTCAACATCCTCTCGGTCCAAACAGAAAGTGTGTCATTGTCTCTCTCTGTTGTCACAATACTCTCTGCCTGTGGACCAAACTTGAACTGCACCCGTGAGACTTGAGGAGCGAGTTTGACGGGGAAACTGTCAGTTTGCGAGACGGAGGCGGCGGCGGTGGCGGTGTGCCTGTTTACGTCCACACTGCGGCCTTATCTGCCTGACGAGTTGCTAAATGCGCAAAAGTGATCTACAGTGTCTGCGCTCCCAACTGTAAATGAAGGCATGAATAATAGATGCGTTGGACCGGCTCGACTGCCTCGGCCCTTAACTTGTCCGTAGCGCGCTGAGACAAGTAAACAAGGTTCTTAGACAAATAAGGGAACACAATACACTCACTTAATGTCGGTAGCATACTCCCAGTAACTGCCATTCCACTACCAGGAAAAATGATTCAAGTGTCAAGCTCAGAGCTATTTTTTGAGGTTGATCATAAATGCAAAACAAATAAAACAAACTCAAAGTGGTACAACCTGAAAAACAGTGGCTGACAGTTGTTTGGCAATCTGTATTTATGATGAATGTGTGCTTTTAAGAATCTGACATGAAGTAGTCAGAATCTTCAGCCAGCATCCTCACACTATGTACACTATGTATGAAGGCCAAGACTCACACACCTAATATTGGTTTTGCGTTATGTCTGATGTTTCATTCTATAACAAAAACTGAAAAATAGGACTGTCACTTATGAGCAAGAGTATGATATGATTTATAATAATAATAGTAATGAAAAATAATGCTTCTTTTGGACACTCAGAGACGCTTTACACAATGGGACAGGTCAAAAAGTCCACAAGGTTTGGCACTTGTTTAGGGTTATCAAGGATCTTTTTGATAACTTTGCAACCATTTGTGTGTTTTAGTTTTTGTGTTCTATATCTCAGCAATATAACTATTTTAGGCCTTTCCCCTCTGTGTGCAACAAGTGTGCATGTATCTTTTTTGTTTTGTTGTGTTTTGTACTGTTGCAAGGTACAAAATGGACTTGATTTCATATTCAGAATCCTTTGAAAGTAACAGAAGTCCCAAACTAAGAACCTATTGTACATATTTTTAGTGGTAGGGGAAACCGGAGCAACCTATGCAGACACGGGGAGAACATGCAAACTCCACTCAGAAAGGCCCTGGTCCAACCGGGATTCGAACCCAGGAGGCGAGAGTGCTATCCACTCAGCCACCGTGCCGCCCGAGATATACATGCATAACGCTGATGCAGGTCACAACTTTCTGTACAGACAACCTCCACTTCACCATCCTGCAGTGAGATGAGAACACGAGAGAAGGCATGTGGTCATTTGAATGCGTTTTAATTTAGATTTTTTTACCCTCCCCACTTCAACCCTGATGAGGCAAAAAGCATGTTCTCATTAGTTTCTCTGCCTAGACTGGAATATTACTGCCCTCTATAGGCAGGTCTTCGTACTAAGTGTTTAATATTTGATGCATGCTATTTTTTCCTGTGTTTTTTTTTTTTCCAGCACTGCAGAAGGTTTCTTTTCACAGTCTGATAACTCCACCGTCACCGGCTGGGAGATATTCATACAGGCGCTGGGATACTTTCTCAAAATGTTTTTCGGCTCCGCTGCACTTGGAACACTCACTGGACTGATCTCTGCTCTTGTATCCTTTTATTATTACTTTGCATCGTTTGGATCATTGCTTATTGTAATTTAGCTAGTTAATTGTTTACTATTTACAGTTGTAAGAGGATGACTAAGGGCTATATCAATTTTTTACTTGTTCAATTGTTTTTTTCCAAATGCTTTGTTCAAGAGTTCTATAGTTGTATATTTTTCAGTAAGCCTAACCTAATTTTAGATTATTCAGCAGAAATCATTTGCACTTTGGAGGTTACTAGACTGGCGCGTTTCTGCAGATGAGACAAATAAAGTGTGTTGCTGAAGGATTATGGCGCCACCTGGTGTTATAAAAGAACATTGCACTCTGCTTTTGAAGGTACGGTAAAAGTGGGGTTCCTAACTTATTTTGAAATGTCATTAAAATATTATAAAAGTCCTGAACAAAGATCAAATGTATCTGATTGTCCCAAATACACCAGGTTTGGCTGAGCATGAGCATGAGCATGAGCATGAGTGGCCCTGGTCTGATGAAGCAGATCTAAAGATGTGGCAGTTACTGGTAATTCCGGGTATATGAGAGTTCTACAACCAAACTGTAATGAGGACGAGGAACTACAATTGTTGTGTACCATTGTTGTGGGTGGAAAGTCGGAATTACCCCCATTCATTCGCTTCTTATAGTTATTGTGCTTCTCTCAAATATATTCTTGATTTTGTGTTCTGAAACATAAAAGACATATTTCAATTAGATCAAAAGCTTGTTCAAGGCAAATCATAAAAGGGTCATTTATGTGTTTTACATTGTTTGCACTTAACACACGGGTCAGTTTTTAAAGCATTTTGACCTGAGGAAGACCCCCTCTCTCGAGTTTGGAATGATGCTGATCTTTGCTTATCTCCCGTATGGACTTGCAGAAGGGATCCAGCTCTCTGGTGAGTACACACCCTCAGATCCTGTATAATAGTCCATGACAGGGGTCTCCAACCTTTTCCTCAAAGGAGAAGCTATTTTTCATCAGTAAAAAATTATGAGCTATTCCTTTAGGCAGGTGAAAGAAAGCCAACATAATGAAGTAAGCAGGCCTTTAAACAAACTATTTTAATGGACGTCAGTCTTTATAACATTACATTCATGTTTTGTAATTCAATTTTTAGCCATGTCTGACTTGAATTTTTGAACTCTTCTGCTGTCTTGCCTTACATGCACTACAGCAATGTATTAAAATGTATTAGTTTACACACAAAAAAGGCCTTTTTGACAGCTTATTTGTCCATTCTGAATCCTTTGGGGAGCTTCTTGGAAAGGAATGGCAAGCCACTAGTTCCTCGAAGCTGTAGGTTGGGTACCCTTGCTCTATTCTATTCAGTATTAAACTCATGTTATCTTATCTTCTCCGCAGGAATCATGTCCATCCTGTTTGCTGGAATCGTCATGTCTCATTACACTCACCACAATCTGTCTCCGGTCACACAGATCCTCATGCAGCAGACTCTGCGCTCTGTGGCCTTCATGTGTGGTCAGTCACATTTGCTCCTCAAACCAATCCTCAAAGGGTTGGTGCGGATGCGGATGCAGGTTTTCGTTCCAGGTTAAGACTTGAGGAAATAGGGTGCTACTGCTCGGTTGGAAATAAACCTGCCGCCACACAGGCCCTTTGAGGACCGGTTTGACACTCCTGTTTAAGTTGTAGTTATGCAAATTAAACTAGCCCCTCAGACTCATTCAACCCAACGCACGCACACACACACACACACACACACACACACACACACACACACACACACACACACACACACACACACACACACTGGACACTGGTCAAGTTTCTCTCATCAATGTAAATGCTCTTATTCACCTCCTTTCAGAAACATGTGTGTTTGCCTTCCTCGGCCTCTCCATATTCAGCTTCCCACATAAATTTGAGTTCTCTTTCGTAATCTGGTGCATTGTAAGTATTTCCTATGATTTACATGACCATATTTTGTACATTACTAAGCAAATATATTGATAATATTTTTCCTTTAGGTGCTTGTCCTGCTCGGTCGCGCCATCAACATCTTTCCGCTGTCATTCTTGCTCAACTTCTTCAGAGACCACAAGATCACTCCCAAGATGATGTTTATTATGTGGTTTAGTGGTGCGTACAGTTATGCTATGTTTATTTTATGTTATTTCTAATGTTTTAAGATGCAGTTTCCTGAATCATATGTGTTTCGTCGTAGGTTTGCGCGGTGCCATTCCCTACGCCCTGAGCCTCCATCTCGGCCTGGAGCCCATCGAGAAGCGACAGCTGATCGGCACCACCACCATCATCATCGTGCTGTTCACCATCCTGCTGATGGGGGGCGGCACCATGCCTCTCATCCGCGTGATGGACATCGAGGCCAGCCAATCCCGGCGCAAGAGCAAGAAAGACATCAACCTCAGCAAGACGCAGAAAATGGTAATTAATCTGCCTTTTATCACAAGTAAAATACATGTTTTTTGTAATTGCGTGCTTCCAATCACTCAGTTATGACTACATTATGTTATTAGGATATTACTATTTGAATAGAATATGTGAATGTGGGAAACTACAGAACCAATCTGTTTTGAGGAACTAGTTAGATAGCTTGTATTACATTGTTCCATTTTTATTTTTTTAAGTTGGGTGCTCGAGCTTTTGATGCAACATTCTGAGCATCAACACACTATTGGTTTACATCACAGGCCTGTTGCATCACACTGAGATGACGCTTGAATCCACGGAGGTCATCAGAGGCCTGCGTTTGTGTACGGCTGTATTTACATGTTTGAAGTGGTTGCTTGGGGCTGTCAGGAACTGGATCTCCCACGCCCGTTCCTCCCGATCCTCTTTGATGTCTATCCTCCTCGTTCCTCTGGCGTTCCTCTGGTGCTCTCCGATAGCGATAGCCACTTGTCTCATCCAACGTCTGTTACACTGCGCCCAGGGAAACACCATCGAGTCGGAGCACCTGTCGGAGCTGACGGAGGAGGAGTACGAGGCTCACATCTACCATCGGCAAGATCTGAAGGGATTCTTGTGGTTCGACGCAAAGTACCTCAACCCTTTCTTCACGCGCCGACTCACCCAGGAGGTACCGCACTCGCAACACAAACACGATCCTAATAACTTTAATAACAACTATATACAGTATGTGCAGTAATCAGGATTCATACTTACTTCTAAAGTCAGATATAATTATTATAATTAGTAGAGAGTTCAGCATGGAGCTGTGTCCATTTATCTTATGCTGTGCTTCGTTCATTTACCTTGTTCATGCTCATTCCTACTGTTTTCTAACTGGCGATGCAACACTGGAATATCCCCACTGTGGGACGAATAAAGGAGCTCTTAATCATAATAACTTTAATAATGTCAGAATATACAATTTATAACCACGTGTCTCTACTGCTAACATGTCCAGGTTTATACACAAAACTATATATTACTTGCACTAGAATATGCAGCGTTTTATACTTTTTGACTACTTTCCTTATTATGCTAAAGATAGAGTTCTATCAATTAAAAAAAGCAAGGTTTCTAGATTGCTACACGAGTCTATTGTGTTTCTCCCAGGTGCTCTTCAGATTGGGGATCAAAACCTTGAAGCGAATAGAAAACTGAGTGGGTAGAGGAAAAAGTCGCAGTAATAGTTTTATGCCGCTTCTTTTATGCCAGAGTCAGAGATATCTTGTGCTGTGTGCCCCTCGTTCCTACTGTTCTGTAACTTGGGATGCAACACTGACACTTCCTCACTGTAGGACGAATGAAGGATCACTTAATCTTAATCCAAACATCCACGCAAACAACGCTATTTCAACAAGTTAGCTAAAACAAGCCAAACCTCAAAAAGTCCCTACATTACATAACGTTTCATCATATGGCTTTCATATTACTTTGAAAGACTCTGTGGCTTCAGAGGTTATGTGGCGGGGGATGGGATGAATAATTAAGCACAAGCCCTCGATTTATCAATGTTTCATACATTCTGTTAAATGTCACTGTTTTAATCATTCGCCAGAGGAATTTAGCCGAGGTCTAAAGCCAAACAGTTTTGCCGTTAGGACTGCAAGGCAAGGCAAGTTTATTTATATAGCACAATTCATACACAAAGCAATTCAAAGTGCTGAACAAAATAAGAAAGCATTAAAATCATAAATGATCACAGAACATTAAAAAGAAAGCTAAAAATATAAAATCCCTCAGTTGTATTCACAGCTAAACAGAACTGTCTTTAACCTGGTTTTAAACATTGTCATTGAGGAGGCCTGTCTCACATCTTCAGGAAGACTGTTCCAGATTTTAGCAGCATGAATCTGAAAAGTAGCCTCCCCATGTTTAGTCCTGACTCTGGGCACTAACAGGAGTCCAGTCCCTGTGCTCCTCAGAGTCCGGGCTGGTTCATATGGGACTAACATGTCACTAATACAGTATATTCTGGTGCGAGGCCATGGAGAGATTTGTACACAAGCAGAGCTGTTTTAAAGTCTATTCTCTGAGCCACAGGAAGCCAGTGCAGAGACCTGAGGACTGGACTAATGTGGTCGTACTTCCTGGTTCTTGTCAGGACTCGAGCTGCTGCATTTTGAATGTACTGCAGCTGTTTTACAGCCTGTTTGGACAGACCTGTGAGCAGGCCATTGCAGTAGTCTAACCTACTGGAGACAAATGCATGGATAAGAATCTCCAAGTCTGCTTTAGACACTATGTTTGGACCGCGACACCAATCACAAAGCATTTGGAAACACAATGTTCATGGTTGTTTAAAGAAGAAGTAGTATGCATTATTGTCTATTAGATGTTCATTGTGCGTATGTCGTACAAGATTTGTCACTCATTTGTTTTATATCTATTTTTTTTTTTTACTTTTTTACAACTTTTTTGCACCAGATACAGAAGCTAATTCCTAGTTTGTGACAATGCCAATACTAATGACAGTATTTGGCTATTTTTTGGCCATTGAAAATTAAAATGAGACTATTTCTATTCTAATACCATTTCATTTCATGTTTTAGGGTGTGAAATTATATCTTGAGTTGAAAATATATGGTTTAAGTGTCAAGGATAAACATAATCGCCCCTTCTTTCTCCTGTGTCAGTCCTGTACACAGTATAATGCCTATGACATCACACTCAGAGATGCAGCAGTTTTCTCAATACCTTTTGTCAATTTCTCATGGGAAATTAAGTTCTCTACGTGTGCTTTTGCTCGTATATGTTCATCAGGATCTCTTACACGGGCGGATACAGATGAAAACATTGACTAACAAGTGGTATGAAGAGGTGCGCCAGGGCCCCTCCGGCTCCGAAGACGAAGACGAGGCCGAGCTGCTGTAAACGGCCTCTACTGCCGGTGGGCTCAGGTGTTTACATGTGCGATTATTCATAAGCAAAATGATGAAGGTATACAGTGGTCCCTCATTTATCGCAGGTGTTATGTTCTGAAAATTACCCACAAAATCTGCAATTAGCAGCTCTATGTTTTTAAAGGCTGTAAAACCCCTCACCACTGACTTCACTTTTCTAACCACCTGAAATCACAACGGCTGATTGCGATCAGAGATATTGCTTGATAATGTTGGTCTGAGCGCAGAGGACAGAGAGGGGCTGGAGTCCTCTGTACTAATCGCAGTAGCTAACAACCGACTAAAGTTTTCTTCTGATAGTTCAGGAAGATTCATCAAGTCTTCTTCGTAGACATAAAAGTATTAGGTTCTTCTATGTCAGACGATATTAGGTTAGCGATGTTATTACCTTGACATGTTTTGACGGATGAATGTCAAGGTGGATCAAAAATCTGGAACCCAACAAATCCAAACGATGGATCAAAGAGGCAAAAGGAATCAGGAAACGTGACGCAGACACTATGCATTGCGAGGATCACAGACAGAGGGCGCTGTTATCCCGGTAAACCATATAAGTTGGCTGGGTTGACTGCACCTGGGAGGAGCTGCTGATAATGTGCGTCATGTGTGATGTCGCGAGTCGGTAATAACATTGCTAACCTAACATTGTCTGGTAGAGAAAAACCTAATACTTTTAAGATAAGATTATTTATGTTTAAGTTTAATTTTTTTTCTGACGTAGAAAAAAAGAAACAGTCATGTTGTACTTGCGGTTATATGATGTTCAAGTTTACACTCGGCACATGAGAATCACACTGTAAGAAAAGCAGGCGTACAAAAATCTGCTGAAAGTGGACCCTGGTTTTTCGAGAGACCACTGTGTTCTGTTTGGATGAAGGATTGTTCTGTTTTACTACTGAAGTGTTGCTGCCGACACGGTCTTCAATCGTGGCTAAAGGTGTTGATTTTAATATTTGAGATATATTTTTTTGAAGGGAAATATGTAAGCTAATTCTAAAGCATCATTTTAACATATAGGTTTTTTGTTAGCACTAGAACTCTCAGAGCAGTCAATTTGACGGCTCTTAGTTTTGGAAGTGTAACTGCATACGGCGTCCCCATATGTAGTTTATTTCAATTCACTTATTTTCATGAATTTATCTGTTAGTTCTGAAATGTGTTAGCTCTACCTTTAGCTTATCAATTGCTTGGTAACCAACTTTATCAAGATGCTGGTCCTGAACTGGTCTTGTTCAGGACCAGTCCATTACCATTCCAGAACCTGTCCAAGTTCTGGACAGGTTCCAGACAGTTCTTGGGCTGGTCCTGGACTGGTCAAGGACTGGTCTTGGACTGCTCTTGGACTGGTCTTGGACCGGTCTTGGACCGGTCTTGGACCGGTCTTAGACTGGTCCTGGACTGGTCCTAGACTGGTCTTGGTCTGGTCTTGGTTCTGAGTCAAGTCAGCTTGGTTTTCCACAAGAGAAGTGTAAGCGCTAGTTACCATAGCAACACACTCTTTACTTTCGGTAGTTAGCATTCACCTTTAAAAAATTTTTTTTGTTGTATTTCAGTTTTAGCACTTGGAAAAAGCAAGAAAAGATGAACATTCCTACTAACTTACTTTTGATTAATCAAACATTTATGGCTGAATTCCCATTGGTTTGAATGGGAGCAGTCAAAATGGCGGCTGTGGGAGTCCTATGTTAAGTTGTGTTCTGCACTTTTTGTTGGCTTTTTTTTGTCACAACTAATTTCTTCTTTATCAACACGTTTGATCGACGCAGTGGAATCTGTGTTTTGATTGTTTTGTGTAGCTTTCCAATCAGTTCAGATTTCTGTGAAAAAAAAGGATCAAAATGCACTATGTTCGATTGATTTTTATCGATTTATGAAGCGGTGAATGTTTGGGTAACTGGAAACTGACTGTGAATGTTTTGTGTTTTTTTTGTTGCTATATCACTTATTTATGTTCGCTAAGGGTCATGGGACAGAGGCCTTTTATACATGGGGAATATTTATGGAAAGAATTCTAAATAAATCTATTTGATATTTAACATGTTTTAATGTGTGTTTTAACATTTTATATATTCAGATGTTTGCACCAGGAAAGGCTTTAAGGGAGGTTATATTACAGAATTGAACTAATATCGCTGAGGAATTGTCTATTTGCTAAACTACCACTGTAGCCACAGCTGCCATGAGGCACACTGACAGACACACCCCATACTCATGATGTGCAATGTGGCACACAACAACAATTTGCCACTTTATAGCTGCAGCCGCCCCACTGTGGCACCTGGTGATCCCAGAGGTCTCCCATCACCGTACTAACCAGGCAATGCCTTGCTTAGCTTCAGAGGTCTGATGGGATCTGGGTTTCACTTACAGGTGTACATGTAGTATGAGCAGTATATAGAGCAGGCGTCTCCAACTTCTAGCTCGGGAGCCACCAGTAGCTCGCTACCCCCTTCCAGGTAGCTCGCCAAAGGATTTAGAAATGAGCAAATCCGCTCTCAGTCTGTAAAATACATAACATGCTTTCTATTATGAGGACCGCATATTCTGGGCTTTGGACAGAAAGATTTAGAGACCCCAGCTTTAATGATAAAGATTTGTGGTCTTCTTTATTAAAAAATAAACACAGTCAATGATCCTGTTTGTTCCTTTTTCCAACTTCTTGCTCGGGAGCTCCCAGTAGCTCCCCACCTCCTTCCAGGTAGCCTGCCAAAGGATTTAGAAATTAGCAAATCAAATTGTATTATTCATTATTATCATTTATTATTGTAAATATTTTACTTCATGCACTAGTAACAAATATGCAATCATAAATTATAATTGTACCCAATATCAGGCTTGTTCTTTCTCAATATATAACCAAATTTAAATAAAATAGCGTATAAGATGTAATAATGACAGTGTGTGTTGACAGCGTGTGGCCAGTAGGGGGAGATTCTGGACCATGAAATATTAATGGCTCGTGCCCTGCCGTATCCTACACAGTGATGCATTATTCACTCCTGCTGATTATCAGTCACTCAGACACTTGGCATTCAGAGTAAAAGCACATGGTTCTAATGACTTCATAGGATTTGCAGAATAATTAATGTAGAGAGAGTGAATGTAGGTCGATGCAAAATGTGTGTCATGCCACAGTTTTCTAGTTCACGATTCAGGCCCAGCTTCACTTAGAAATCTTAAGGCTCGATTCTAAAGCCGTCCACAGTCTGGTGCCTTCATATATGTCTGATTTACTTCTGTATGTTTTCTATCACAGGATCTATCACAACTTTTCTCACAACTCAATTCAGAATCAATTCAAGTTACAATCTTCTGTTAATTAATACACGCTGTCCCAAATCAATAAATAATACTTTCTTTTTTTTGTTTTGCACAGCCCCAAATCACAACAGCAATCATTTGGGGCTAAAAAATAAATCTTTGTTTATTTGAATGGGACAGCAAGGAATGGCTCAATGTTCTGACCCAACCCTCAATGTCAATGTTGAATAGTTTGTTCCAACAGAAAAAATTTAGATTTTAGTTCACAGAATTTAAAAAGAGTTAAAGTCTGTGGACTAGTCGGACTATGACATGTCTTCTTTATGATTACAGAACATGCCATCCTGTGAATATTAAAGCTCTCGGAGTCACTTTTTGACGCTTTGGCCTGATCTGAGTCCTCTTTTTCACCACGTTTATAAATCATCGTATTCAGACAGAAAAGTAAGAGTTCAAAGAGGCCAATTACGGATGTGAAAAATATAGAGACAGAACCAAACTGTTTTGAGAGCGAGGAACTACAGAGTTGGATGGATTTTATTACAGTTGAAATGGTTGAATTCTTGACGTTTTATACCTCAACTTCAAGGTTTCTTTTGATTCCTTTTAAGCAATAACAGGCCGCAATAACAGTTTGGGCATTGAGAATCTGTGAGCCTACACTTCTGTAATAATGAATGGGTTCAAAAAGCTAGACCTCCCACTGTAGCTCAGATGTGATTGGACAAATGTGAACTCTCTGCTCTCCCTCTTTTAGAAATATGCTTCTATATTCTTGAGTGATTATGTAGTTGCGTTCCATGCTGGAGACATTTTTTTTTCCTGTGAATTCTTAGCTTAATGCAAAGTGTTAGTTTAGTTTAGCCTTTAATTGAAAGTGACGGGCCAAAGCAACAGTATGCTCAAAGACCCCACCCCCTGATGGGACTTGGGCCTAAAGAATTGGGGGAAGTTTATATTGAATCTTCTTTTATTAGAATCTAGATTTTAAAAACAAAGAAGAAGAAGAATATTTGAAAGTAGGCTTATTTTATACTGATGATTTAATGAAACTGTAAAAATGTCTCTTAATAGTTTTGTTAAATCTGTAGATTTCACATTTACTGTATGTATGTTGGTCTCTGTTGCATATTTAGTTGAGAAAAACTCTTCTTTATGAACAAATAAAGTTAGGAATCCCAGCTTTAGCATGCATCCATCTATCCATGTTCATACAGACAATGTGTGTAAGTTAATTTTGTTTCACCAGCCTCACGCCGCCCGTCCACCTGAGAAAACACACACAAAATGATAAGTAGGAGGTAATAGTTTCTTGAATTGAGTTTTTATCCTTATTTGAGCACATTCAGACATAGCCATTTAGTCTTCTTTCAAGAACTATTGCTTTAATTCTCATTCTAAGTTAGACATTTCTCATTCAAAACAATATATAAGAAATGTATTTACCCCTCTCCCTCGCTGAAAGACCATGTCCGTGTCTGCATCATCCTGCGGACCCACCACATGCAGGAAGGACCGGTGCTCTGTGAATTGGGTGGCAGCTGTGATTTCCCCCCCTCTGACCCAGAAATGAAATGACAAAGGGATAGACATTTTTTGACAAAATAAGAAATATACATGTATCGTTTTAAAATGATTTTGCTTGTCCCAGCGGCAAATCGTGTTTTAAGATACATATTGCGAAATTATAGATTTTTTTTTAATTTTTTT